ATGGGGTGAATACACTTTGCACAGGAGAAGTATAAGCATTTTGAGGAATCGGAGAGCTGAGTGTTGTCAGCAGAATTATGCCACCCATGAAAAAAAAGTATGTTTAAGTCCTAATCTCTAGTACCTGCAAACATGGCTTTGTTTGGTAATAGGGTGTTTGCAGAAGTGAACAAGTTAAAGTGAGGCTTACTGGTGCAGGGCTCGCCCTAATCCAATGACAGCTGTCCTTATAAGACAGGGAAATGTGCACACACAGACAGACACACACGGAAGGTGCTGTAGGTAGAGACTGCCATGCTGCATCTACAAGCTGTGGGACACCAAAGGATGCCAGCAAACAACAGCAGCTAGGAGACAGGCATGGCACAGATCTTCCTGAGACTCCAGAAGGATTAACCTGGCCCACAACTTGATTTCAGACTTCTAGCCTCCAAAATTGTGAGAAAATAAATTCCCGTTGTTTAAGCTGCCTCATTTGTTGTGAATGACCTGGGAAACTAATACAAATGTCAAATGCAACTGCTACAGAAAGGTCAAGAAAGTTAAGGATGAAAAATGACTATTTGGTTTAACATGTAGGTAATTGACAGGGCAATAAATTGACAGAAAGCATTACGTATTTAATACTTTAAAAATACATTTTGAGGGGAGGAAGTGGAAATATTGAACTCAAATATTTTGTTAAAGAAGCTCATCTAGGAAGGAAAGAAGAGATATAAGTGGTCATTATAAGGGGATGTGGTCAAGAAAGGGCTCTTTTAATGTAGATCCTCAGATATGTTTCAATACTAAAGAAAAAGAGAAAAAAGAATAAGATGCCGAAGAGAGAGGAATGATTGAAAGAACAAGTAGCACACATCAAAGAATAGGTTTTAGGAGGAAAGAAGCCACTTTCACTGGGACAATAACAAATGATGAAAAGATGGATAAAATGCACAGAAATATAAAAAGTATTGGCTAGCCAGGTGTGGTGGCGCATGCCTATATTCCCAGATTCCTAGGAGGCTGAGATAGGACTGCTTGAGTCCAGGATCCTAAGATGACACCATTGCACTTTAGCAGGAGTGACAAAGTGAGACTTTGTCTCAAAAAAAAAAGTATTGGCGGATAGTTTTTAATTTTGTTAGGTAAATAGGAGACAGCATCATTTGCTGAGCATGAGAAGGAAGAGGGATAAGGAAGAGATTTGAGGAATTGATAAGAATTGTGGAAATGGGAGTTGGTGACAGGCCCGCAGGGAGAGTGTCTGACAAGCAGCAAGCATTTTTAAGGAGCTCCTGTCAGCAAATCAGGCGAAGTTGTATTGATTGATTGCAAACAATGCTTAGTAGCTTGACTGCGATGTAACTATAGAGTAATTCTGATGACATAACAAAGAAATAAGTATAAAGCAAGGTCAAAGTGCTGGGCTATGAGGACATGAAATTCATAAGAAAAAAAAACTCTCAATATAGTGGCAAATGACGAACATACTAAAACTAAAAATGTGAGAGAACTGTCAAACAGAAAGTTGTCAAAGACAGAAATCTGGAATTTTGACATGCTTGTCTTCCCCCAAATAACTCCTCCACTAGCCAGCAACACAACCTGAAATTTTACCCAATTATGCTTATTTTGGGGAGACCTGCTAAAATAAAAATTCAAATATGGAATATACCACACTAAGTGCCCTTGACCTGTAAGAAAGGAAAATACAATTAGCATATGATGAGTATCCATTCTCTTATAATAGTAGTTAGCAAGTGACTGGCGCATGTTACCAGAATGTATTCTAAGCAAAAAAAAAAATAAAAAAATAAAAAAACCAAATAAAATTTAGAAGAAATAAAATTTTCTAAACATAATACTTCATAATAAAATACATAAATACATCTTTGTCATTGGGAATAAACAGTAAGCACCCACATACATGATTGTAATTTGTATTACACTTATGCAATCAAACAGATTTAGTTTGTTGTTATCTGAAACCTATTAACATCGCCTGCCAAGTTGTCTGCCATGCTCACCTCATCTCCCAGCATCCTCATGGGTTTGCATAGGTGCAGGCTCACGCACACTCGCAAGCTTTCAATTCCAAAGTATAGGGTCCTATGCTTTAAGAATTAGCTTCTGGTGTTCTACCATTTCTTCTGCTCTTTTGCCCCTTCCCTCGGTGACCCCATGCTAAGACTTCTGGAGTTCTTAAGGTAAGAGAAGGTGAATGAGGAAGGATTAGGAAACCAGCTGAATAAGTTTAGATAAGAACAGGATTCAGAATCTGGAGCTACAATGAGAAGGTTATTCACCAAATTGTCTTTTAAGTCAGGAAACCTCACCTTCAGTCATTATCTTCTAAACCTACTGATTTTGAAGGCATGCACCTCTGGTAAGTCTATCTTCATTTCTGGAACTTCATTCTGTCCTCAGAAAGAAAATTTTAAGGAGAAGTTGGCAGAATCCAGTGGGCACAACATCCTCCTATGCAGTTAAACACTCCCATGTTTCACTATACTTTCCTATTTCTATACTAGCTTTAATGTCAAAAACACTGCTAGCCTACAGGCTCTATGAGGATAGGGTTAATATCTGACTGCTTCATTGCTATATTCCCAGTACCTGCCTCAGCACCAGAAAGGAAGTTTACCAATACATATCTAAGAAATTACAGACAATAAATGAGTACCGACTACCCTATGGGATCCAGAGAGAGTCTCTCTACATAAGGCAGATCTAAGAAGGAGACTCATGCGCTGAATCCCCCTCTTCCTCCGAAAGAAAGAAACTCTTTAAAACCTCTTTCATTGTATCTACTTCTAATTTCATTATTATGACAATAGTTATCATCATAACCATCTTATAATATCCCTTCTACTTCTATTTAAGCCCAACGAAGACAGAAATGTAGAACTATCATACTCTGTATTATAAATAAAGCAACAATGTAAAATGAATGTATTTCTACAAAACTAAATAATTTACGTTAAAAATTTGATCTAAATAGACTTAATTACTCTGCCATCATATAAACTATTTTATAATCTTGAATAAGTGCTGTGTGTCATACAAAGAGATTTATTGTTTTAAATTTCTCTTTGATATCATTGGGGAAGGAAAAGGCTTTCATTTGTATTAATAACTCAAGTAATTTCTAGTTGGTAAACTGGAAAAAGGAAGTAATCTTTCAAAAGAAACTGGTTTAGTTTACAATTAGTAAGCAGAAATTGTGAAATTTGATTGACTTTACTTATGATGTATCACGTATTTTCATGGGCCTCTCTGGGAAGAAACAGGAAAAATAACATTTGATAAATATCATGTATAGCATGCATTTATTTTGAAGCAGGTTTTTGTCAAGGCTGTGATTACTATCAGGTTGCTTAAAATTATTACTATAACTACCTCTTTAGACATAAAAACTGTTAGAAGGAAAACACTCTTCATTAATGGTCTCCTTAAGTTCATTTGTGCAATAATAACAACACAGTTTTTGAAGAGTATGTTCTGAACTGGAAAACTAAAGAATGCAGAATGTCTACAAATCACAAGCTACCTTCTCTTGATAAAACTTGCTGCTCAGATTCATTTCATCTGAAAATGTCTGGATGTAATGCACAATAATAACTAGAGGGAAGAGTGCTAACATTTTTTGAGATCTTCCTCCTGCCTGGTTGTTGAAGGAAGTCTGTTGAAACTACTTATCCCACGCTTACTCTTTAAATTAGATTTTTTTTAACTCTTCATTTTCAAATGAGTAAACAGAGGTTCAAATAATTCAAGTATATTCAGGAGGTTGCTATAAATGTGTTAAACCTTAAATTTATACATCTGCCTCCAAAACACTAATAAACGAGAGTTTGGGCTCTAGAACCTCCTGATTAATTTTGATCTAAGCACAAACTATGTCCTTCCAGCTTGCACTTTGCCCAATTCTTTAGCCCACATGCTCAGAAGCAAAGCTCAGAAGCCCAGGAAACCAAAGTAATTTCTTTAGTTAGCACATCTTCATCATTGTGTTAGCACATCTTCATCATTGTGTCAGGCCTTGAAACCCAAGGCACCAAATGTCTGGAATTCTATAACCAAGTATATGTATGTACAGTGCTCACAAGATGCATTCAACCCAGGAAAACGTAGGGATCCGAGTCTTGTCGTCCTGTTTCAAGAAAACTTCCATCTCTGAATTTCTGATTTACCTAGCGTGCGTTATGACGTTCCATCCTGAACGGAATTCTCCAGGAGAAATCAATCTATATGCCTGCAGGGGATGGGGCTGAGAGGACTGACTGGGCAGAGGGCTTAGAGAGAGAGGAGAAATGAGTGGACATCAAAGGTGGGAGCAAGAGGAAAAAGGATCTGAGATGTGAAAATACAAACACAGGAGCAGAAAGTGGAACGAAATTCCAAAATCCAGTGACCCCTAAATGTGTGGCTCGCTGTGCCCGCCACCTGCAGCAGGCTCCATCCCCGCGCACTCTCTGAACCCCCCTGGGCCCCTGCCTTCGCCGCGTGGGTGAATGGCCGGGTCGGCATAGCAAAGAACAGCCCACTATCCGTGTCTGAGAGCAGGAACCGCAGCAAAACATCCTGAAGTTGGAAGAGGGAAAAGCATCTTGGACAGGTTTTAAGCGCAGCCAGTAAGCGCAGCCCTCTCCGGGCGAGGGCACGACGCCCTGAGGGCTGGCTGCAGGGAGGGAGCGCGCACCCCAGCCCGCGAGGGGCCGCCCGCCCCGCGGCCGCGGCCGCGACGTCACCAGCAGGGGGCTGGGGGCCGCCCAGCGCGCCCGCCCGCGGGGTCCTCAGCCCGGCAGCCCGCGGCCCAGAGCCACCCGCGCCCGCCTCGGGCCAGCCTGCCGTCTCCCTCTCCCCGGCCGGCCGTCGGGCGCGTCCGGAGCGAGTGCGGCTTCCGCGCCCAGCACCCGCGGACCGAGCCCCGCGCCCTCTCCCGCTGCGGGCGGCCGAGCGCCCCGCAGGCGGCAGGAAGCGCGGGCTGCGGCGGGTCCCGCGCGGCGACCCCCACGATGGCCTCGCCCGAGAGCGGGGCCGCCGGGGCCGGGGGCGCCCAGAACCTGAGCGCGGCGCTCGCCGCGGGGCCCGAGTGGCTGCAGCTGCTGGCCGCGGCCGGCGCCGCGTCCCCGTCCGCCGCGGCCCCCGCGCCCGCGCCGCCGCGCGCCAACCTCACCCACCCGTTCGTGCAGCCGTCCTGGCGCGCCGCGCTCTGGGCCCTGGCGTACGGCGCCGTGGTGGCCGTGGCCGTGCTCGGGAACCTCGTCGTCATCTGGATCGTGCTGGCCCACAAGCGCATGAGGACCGTCACCAACTACTTCCTCGTGAACCTGGCTTTCTCCGACGCCTCCACGGCCGCCTTCAACACGCTGGTCAACTTCATCTACGCCCTGCACGGCGAGTGGTACTTCGGCGCCGGCTACTGCCGCTTCCAGAACTTCTTCCCCATCACGGCCGTGTTCGCCAGCATCTACTCCATGACGGCCATCGCGGTGGACAGGTGAGGGCACGGGGACAGGCAGCGGGCGGGAAAAGAGCTGGGCAGGGGGACGTGGTTACTAAGGAAACGTGGCAAAAAGGGGTCCACAGAAGTAAAGAATTTTGGAAAAAGGAGGTCACTGACCCTTTCCTGGCCCCCTACCCCAAGGGCCTCTCTGACTCACGTCCTAAGCCCCTGAGCCCTACAAGGGCATCTAGAGGGACTGGAGGTGGCGAATGAGGGAGAGGTGAAACTGCCATTCCAAATAGGACAAACTTAGCTAGAAACATTTAACACTAGCAGACTTTCTCAAATGGCTTCAGACCATTACACAAAATTTATATTCTCTTCAAAAGGTACTTCTGTGTCCTGTCAGTCACTGGCAGAGAAATGGACAGTGAGTCACCCTCCACGCTTTCCTCCCGGTGTGGTCTGCTGGCCCTCATCCCTACGCGTCCCCATTCCTTAAATTTGCCCCAAGGCCAACACTCCTGTGGCCCCCCAGTCTCAGAGGATCTATCAGAGGCAGCAAGCTTCCTCCAAAAGACTGCTGTCAACTAGTAGTTTCCATGAACTGTGTAAAACCTGTGCCTGGATGTGTGTGACCACATCTTTCAGATAATGGGCAACATCAAGCCTAAGGAATAAGTGGTTTAAAAATGAGACACACAAGATAATTTTTTAGAATGTTCTTCCATCTACAGTTGGGATTCTGAGATGCTTAAACAATAGGAGCTAAATGAACCCCAAACATTTGTTCCCATGTTTAAGTTTTTAAAAATTTTGTGTGCATTTGCTTTCTCATATTGAACATTATGAAATATAGATACTTATGGAACGGCAATAATGAATCCCTACCTGTGATGGAAAGCTGCTTACACTTTAGTTCAATAGTGTGGTAAAAATGCCCCGGAACAGTGGAGTCCAGTCTCAGCTTTGTGATGGGCAGCTGCATGGAGGTCATGTCGCTTTAACTTCAAGTCTCAGTGTTCTCCTTTGTGAAAAGAAAATAGCACTTTTTTTACATTAACAACCCTGTTTCAAAATGAAGTGTTTAAATATTAATTCTTACCACATTTTAGCTGCCATTATGAGAAAAAAATAAGAAAAATATAAGTCATTTCCATAAGTCCATCCTCAGTGTTTACTATTTTGAGATAGCATGTAAATATTAACGACATAAATATATAGAAATATTTTCATATGCCAGGCCCAGAGGATTAGGTTGAAGGACCAGTCAGTGGCTAGTAGCCACTAACTAGGATAAATAAACACAAAATCACGCTTTGTAAAAGCCTCTGAAATTGTCAGTTTTCCCATTCTCCTTTGTCTCTGGTTTTCCACACATATTCACCCCTCCATTTCAGCTAGGGATAGAAGTGGGTGCAAAGAAATGAACAAAATCAGACCCAGGGAGGGGAACAAGTGAAATTGCCACTAATTTTACTCCACAAAGAGAAATGAATGTTCCTTTGGTTTTAGCATCTCCCTTTTCTGTTTTGATTTCTTTCTTTTTTATTTCTTCTAAGTATGTGGTTTTTATTGTTGTGATCAAGGGAGAGGTATTAGCATATAATGTTATAAAATGCTTACAATCTTCTTGAAATGTTGATAATACTATACAAAAGATAATGAAAACTTTAGTGCATGGGAATCCGGTATTTCACTTTGGAAGAAAAAACTTTTTTTTTTCCTTTTTCTTCCACTAACATCTCTGAAATGGTCTCTCGAAGCTATTTTAGCTGATCATGTAGTACTATGTTATTACACTCAGTGGTTTGACTTAATAGATACTTTACTATTTAATATTTTCTATTTCTTTATTAGAAACATTTCATTATTAAAAAGTATAAAAAATTTTGGAGCATATAATTTGCTATAAAATCTTAAGGACACTCAGATCAAATACTGAAAGTCTCTTTTAGCATTTAATTTAAAAGAATACTCTTACTTGAGCAGTTGATAAAAAGAGATAGACAAAAATCTATTTAAGATAATTTTAGAATCAAAGATTATATAAATATAACAGTAAACTGTCAATAGTTTACCAACCTATAGAATGTTTCTGCATTGGTGTCTTATCAAATGTAAACTGGAAAAACTGTCCCTGTGGTATTTGCAGTCATTTTATAGGTTAAAGTTTTTATAGGTTAAAGTTAAACCTTGTGAGATTGATATATCTGACTCACATGCCTTTGAATTTGTTTGCATGGACTTATTGCCTTAGTTAGCTGAGAATATAGTTAACAGTATATGCTCACAGAAATTATTTTTTCCTATGCAATGAATGCTTTATTGAAATTATAAAGGTTAAATAATCCATAATTGGTTCTCATTGATAAAGGAACAAATCATTTAAGCTGCAGTATGAACACTTCAATTCTTTAATTTTGAATGGTTTCTATGCCCATATAATATAAATTGAATTGCATTATCTCAGCCTGAATGGAAAAATATATTCAGTTCACTCTGTCCATCTGCCCAAAACCAAAAGATCCCCTGAGCTTGAAAACAGTTTCAGCTGTGACTCAGGCACATACGGCTTTCCTTCAGCCACAGTAAAATGCTTGCAGCCTCTCATGACTCTTAAAGATTTTAGATACGAAAGGATAATAGATATTTCCTTAATAAACACCTATATCTTACAATTGGAGAACTTTAAGCCAAATGGTTACACATTTAATATAAGAGTTTTCCTTGAAATGTTCAGTACTCATTCTACACTGGGAAAATTGCTTGCTTTCTATATTCAATTTCTAAATAATATTAAATACTAACAACTCTACTAAAGATGTGAATAAGGTTCTGGTCTTATTCTGAAGCATGCTTCCTTCTGCTTTGTTACAAATTCCTGCAAAACTACTTTTCTGTTGACTAAGAATCCATCTTTCCTTTCTGCACATTTTCTTCTTACCTGGAAGATCACTTCACCACCACCCCATTGTCTACACACACACACACACACACACACAACACACACACACACACACACACACACACACACACACACACGGTGTTGGAATTATTTGCCAATGAAGATTTACTTTTCTCTCCATTATCTTTCCCCAATTTGTCATTTTGAAATGTAACATAAAGGGAGAGGGGATGGGGATATTCACACCTAATGGGTGCGGTGCGCACTGTCTGGGGGATGGACACGCTTGAAGCTGTGACTCGGGTGGGGCAAAGGCAATATACGTAACCTAAACATTTGTACCCCCATAATGTGCTGAAAAAAAAAAAAGAAAAAAAAAGGAAATGTAACATGTAGCTATAACATTGATCTAAAAGATATTAAGTCAAGATCTTCAAGTAGAATCAAGATTCAAACCATTGCTTTACTCCAGGGCCTGTGCTCCTCTTAACCTCTAAACTATAGTGCCTCCTAACAAGTGCTGAAACTGCAGTGTTTGATTAGACAAAGTCATTACCTTCAAGCAAGTTAGAATGTGGCACTGGCATATATATATCTATCTTACATATACACATAACACATCTTACATATATATTACCTATGTTTCTATTGACAACATAGAAAGAAAATTATTAATAGAGCAGTTAATACAATGCAAATATTGTGATTTCTATTCACTTTTGGCATATATGACTTAACATATGGTTATAGTAGAAAATAGTTAAATATCTTCTTCCATTTTCTAAGCACATGTTTTGAGCTTAAGTTAAAAATTGTAGGAAGTTTTATTAACATATAGTAAAGAAAAATTTCCAGTCACATAGTTCAGTATTGATCTGAATATTTAATTAAAGAACTTTAAAAATTACATTCACTTTTTCTTACTTGTAAACCTTAAGGAAATAGTTAACTGTGTTTTATCTAATAATACAAAAACATTAACAAAGACAGAAAATATATTTTACATTTTTTAAACCTATGGACATACCTGACATGAATAATTATGAAAAGGAACCTTTAACCAAACTAAATAATAGTCATAATAGCTAAGTAGATAAAAATTGATATTATATGCAATTCTATTTTTTTCAATTTCTTTAGCTAGCTTCTATTTCACTCTTTTCCATAAAGCTATTTTATGCAAAGTATTCATAGAACTTCTATGGAGGGCTTTTGAAATTTATTATGAACAGATAAAAATATACAGTCATGAAAAATAGTGAGGCTTCAATCTGATAGACTGTCTAAATGTACTGTGGTAAATCTTACATCATTGCTATAAGTATTGTAGATATAAATGCTTTGGTAAATTCTTTAAAAATCCTTTATCAGTCTTTAATTTGAGCCAATCTCATTCCTCTTCACTCTAAGGAAAGTCACTGACCATGCAGTTAATATTCTTTATTAGTTTTACAGTCATATTTGACTTATTATTTAGCCCAGATGATAAACTTGATAGTCTAAGATCAATTGCTTTGTATTTTTTAATTATTTACAAAATAATAACTAAAACTATGTTTTGGGAAATATTGCTTGCAGGAAATTTATACTAAACTTTTGGCTCTTTCTACAATTTGAAATTATTATTAAGGATTTAAAAATATCCCATTTTCATCCACTAAAATTACTTCTCTAGGGAACTATGAAAATTTTGTTAAAATTACAGTGTTAATTCTTATAAAATTAATCATGAGCACACAGTGAAAGCAAAAAATATATATTAATTGAATGGATGAACACAAGATCATCACTGAGGAAGATGTAATCAGAGGTGGCTCTTATTTAAATAGTAGAACTCCAGTTGATATCAAGGTTACATTAATCATACTGGAAAAGAATATGTTAAGGGAGGTTGCAGTGTATTTAACAGGCAGTGTTAAAAAAAAACCCTAAATATGTAACATACTATTATACACTAAAGAAAAGATATAATCTCAGTGTAAAAAGAAGAAAAGACATAAATAGAAAGTTCACAAAAGAAATGAAAATATCTGATGGATGACTGATTAAAGAAAATATGGTATACATACATAATGAAATACTATTCAGCCATAAAAAAGAATTAAATCATGTTCTTTGCAGCAACATGAATAGAACTGGACACCAT